GGACTGATTTGTGACCACTGTTTGGGAGGGATGGTTATATTGTGTATCTGGAATGAATTTTAGGTCTCTACGTCCATCCCATGGGGAATGGGAGCAGTAACAAAGGTGTTGCGTTTATATTTTTGTCAGGTTTATATTATTGTCAGGTGAATTTATCAGTCTCTAAAAGCCCACGAAAATGTTGACAACAGTTTGCAAACCCTACATTAAAAACATTAATTTCTAAAAAAGTTTTTAAAAAATCTGGATGCTGTTTTAGAGAAGAACTTCAGTGAATGCATTTTAATTTTTGACCGAAATACTGGTTAAAAGATCCCGTCAGTGTCTTATGATTTGCATCAAAATCTGTTTCCTGAGATCCTGAAGCCTGCATTTCCTCACTGCCCACTGGTTTTCCACTGTGGATTTCCCATTTTAGCTCATCACCTGATTAGTTTCCCACATACACATCTGCTTCCCATCAGTCATCAGCCCTGTGTCTCATAGCTGTAGTCACCAACACCTGCATATTTCCAGCTTCCTAGCTAATCAAATAAAACCAATGCCGGTGGGGGAAACAAGATACCAGCATGCACCCTGTTTCACCTTATTCAACTCCTTGCAGTCCTTACAACCAGAAATGTCTGCTTTGTCTGTGTTTCAGAGTCACTCTCTAAGATACTGCTTTACTCAACCCAAGCTCAGTGTTGCTACAGAGTTTATTTATGGGGAGACTTTCAGGATTACCCTAGCATGAAATCACTGTGCTAGCATTGGTTAGGATGGCAATCTGAAGACAGCAGTGGCATGAATTTGAGGCACTGACAGCTGACAGTGTGATTTTCAGCAGTCCACTAGCACTGAACTGCAATGCAGACTGATGTATTTGGAAAAATTTGAGCCAATATAGTTTGAATATTGGTATACGCACTCACTTTCTCAGGCTTTTACAGTATTCACAATTGCTAAATATTAATTTGTTTATGGGACATTTTTCTTCCTTTTTATTTAAAAAAACCAAATAAATTATAAATGCAGTTCACAGGTGGCTTTGTGTGGCTATTTTGGTTATCCCAACAATCACAGATATATTAACTCTGTTGTGAACAGCTTATTTAGCCTGAAACAAGCATTTCATAACAGGCTTACAGAGTTAAAAGTTAGCATACAGTCACATCGTGTGACGTCTGATGATGGGAAAGAACCTTCTTTACATTGTACTAAATGCATATATTCACAATGTTACAGCAAACTGGGCACATTATTAGAGTGCCACTGAATGTTTAAGTCATTGTTCTATGTTGTGAACAAAAGCCTAACTTTTTAATGCAGTATGCATTTTTCTTTTGAATTGAATTGTAGCCCTGCAAATACTTACTCAGTCATTTTATACTCCATTTATTAAAATAGGCACTTTTTCTAAAAATAAAAAAAAATTGATGGTGGCGGGCTGAAAAATATATTACTTGCACTTCCTGACCTTGCTCCTTGTCATTTGTGCAAAATGGCCGTAAACCTGTTAATGTCAACTGTGCAGCAATTTGTTTTTGGAGCAGTCTAATTTGTTTAAGCAGTTAGTCGCACAGTGGCATTTTAAATTATGTTTGGCAGGCAAAGCAAAAAAGTAGTGCTCAAAAGAGGAAAGCTAGAAGAGCGCAGGATGAGTATACCGCAAGGCTGTAAATGACTTTGATGAGCAAAAGGCCCCAAAACTGGAGTTCTTATAAGCACAGATGGGCAGTAACGGGTTACTGCCCATCTGTGCGATAGTAAGGGATTACTATCGCAAAAACGGTAATTAGATTACCGTTACTTTCCCGTAGGAACGCTGCGTTACTGCGTTACTAAAACCGTGATTTTGTTGCGAGAATGTCTCA